CTGGAATTGATGAGAAGAGGGAGAAGATTTCACAACAGATGACAGAAATAAAGAACTGTGTGACACTGAGATTAAAAGACTACATGGACAACAACATGTTGATGAGATAATGGCCAGAAAACATCATAAACAAACACTGAGAAACAATTTGGTTAAGAAGAATGATCAACTGAACCATGTGAAATCTGAGTTAGAGAAGAAGAAGAAAGGAATTGTTGACACAGTGGAATTCATGGAGGAGAACAACAGCACCATGTCAAATTACAGTTTAATTGACAACCACAGAGAACTGACTAAAATGTTGCCTGAATTGGAGGTTCATATGACATGTATGACAAAATGTGAACATTCAGAGAGATTCATAAGACACCGTGTATATCCCAGCATGCGGGGTGTATACTATGTTGTGCGCGGGGTGTAAGCTTCCGAAGCGAGAGAAAAGGGGTCAATGTAGATCTTTTTCCATTTTCTCAATTTACAGATATTTTTCGCCAGAAAACATATGCCTACGGAAGAAAGCATTATCTAAGGAGTATATGGATACCAATGAATCCACTGGATACCTTCTAGTTTTGTCAAACACCTCAACACAATTCCGAGGATCGGAGCAAGATTGACGCTACACTGTGTTTATGATCAAATATCAGAAGAAATCTTTGCTTTATCATCACTTTTATATTATTGTTAAATACGTGTTTACTATATAAACGTTTGTACAAATTGTCAGTAAATAAAACAGTTCGTATACAAAGATATTGACGAAAAATCAATGTTCTGTCCGGGGTGTATGCAACATGTTGTACGCGGGGTGTATACCCCTCTCTTTACTTTATAGTATCATTGTCTGAAATATCATTAAAAATATTCTTAACAATTGACTTTTGTGAAAGTTATATTTATTTTTTAAATTATTCACCAGTTTTGCAATAGCACAACTTCAGGTTCATGAATTCGATTTACTGAAAAAAAAATCGTACTTTTGACTTTGCATGCACATGGAAGTAAATGTACAGGGTACTTTGTTCAACTTTTTCATGTGATGACCAACAATTCATCCCCTCAATTTAAAGACAAATTATTCATATTATTCCTTAATAAATGCTTCACACATGCATCATTTTGAACATTTAACATTTTCTAATAATTTCTGTTTAACCTTTTTCAACATTTTTTAAAATGATACTGCATATGGAGTGTATATATCTAAGTTGATTCGATACGCAAGAGCATGCTGCTCTACCTATGAACAATTTCTTAAACGAGGTATATTATTGACAAGAAAGTCGATGAAGCAAGAATATCAGCAGTCTCGTTTAAAGTCATCATTTCGTAGGTTATATGGTCGATACAATGACCTTGTCAGCAAATACAATTTATCATTGAGTCAAATGCTGACTGACGTTTTCATACCAATTGTAAGACCATTATTTATACTCTGAATATTAGACATTTTCCGTTATTTCACGATCATGACAACACGACACACGGCGGAAGTGACTGGTCAGTAGGGATGCTCACTCCTCAATGGCACCTGATCCTTCCTTTGATGTTTTGGAGGTCCATGTTTGCTCTGCACTTGTTTTGTATTGTTTTTTTTGTATTGGACTTTGAGATTAAATACTGTTCGTTATTTCCACACCCCTTTATTGAAAATATTTATGTTTTTGTAATGTCATAAACACTGCATAATTATTTCATGAAATATCTATATGCTGTGTACTTTGCCCCAGGAGCTCACGTTTGACAGTAAACTATTTGTTTTATATTGAGGCATTGTATTGTACTGAGTACATATTTTCTAAGAATGGGCCCGGAGAGGGAGTGTTTGTGTCTTAGGTTTTTTTTAGGGGGGGGGGGGGGTTAAACTTTACTTCATGTATATACGATAATAAATTAGAGGAGGGGTGAACATTAATTGACATTAATTACACATCAACGTAAAATTATAATTGTACCCAAAACAGTTTTTTTTTTCAATTGTGAATGCCCTCAGAAAATTGTCGTCCCTTATTACAAATGTGCATTTTTATAGCTGGCTTTACATGTTCATTGTTTTTTGTAAAATATGAAATCTTTTCAGATAAAGAAACATAGGTAATCAGAGATTACAGAGCTCACCTCAACGTGTGTTGTCTTTAAGTAAGGCAAATTAAGTCACACAATTAACCAACAAAAAGTGTACATCCAAAAATGCAAAATTTATGCAAATTTGATACTTTGGAATAGACCTATATGAAAACCAAAAACTAGTTCTTAATCATGAAAATGTGATTAAAATCCAGCATCTGAAGCAAGATTGAGAGTTTTCATCCCATGATGCATCATTTGTGCAACTGGTTTATATAAGCCTTATAGTTTCTTGATGATAGACTTGCACCCATAACTTTTACGAGGTCAATTATCTGGAAAATGTATGTCAATTCAGCATCTGAAGCAAGTCCATTAGTGTGCATCCTAAGATGTATCATCCATGCAAGTTTGGTCAACATAGGGCTTAAAGTTACTTGCAAATGAAACCTGTATAAAATAATTAATCTTTCCACTAATCCAGAAAATGTAGGTCAGAGAAATTCAGCATCCGAGCCAGCCTAGTAGAATGCACCCTTAGATGTACCATCCATGCAAGTTTGGTCTTTATAGGGCTCAAAGTTACTTGGAAATGAATCCTGCACCATAAACTTTAACATGTTTACTCGTCCAGAAATTTTATGTCAGATTCAGCATCCAAAGCAAGTCAGGTAGTATGCATCCTAAGATGTACCATCCATGCAATTTAGTTGTTATAGGGTTCATAGTACTGTACCTTGGAAATGAAACCTTCACCAAAAATTTAAACCTGTTTACTCAACCGGAAAATGAAAGTCAGATTCAGCATCCAAGCAGGACTTGTAATATGCATCCTAAGATGTACAATCCATGCAAGTTTGGTCATTATATGTCTCATAGTAACTTGGAAATGAAACCTGCACCAAAAGTTTAACCTGTTCACTCAACCGGAAAATGTAGGTCGGATTCAGCATCCAAAGCAAGTCGAGTAGATAACATCATAAGATGTACCATCCATGCAAGTTTGGTCATTATAGGGCTCAACGTATCTCGAAATGAAACCTTCACCAAAAACTTTAACCTGTTCACTCAACCGGTAAATGTAGGTCAGATTCAGCATCCGAAGCAAGGCTGGTAGTATGCATCCTAAGATGTATCATCCATGTAAGTTTGGTCATTATATGTCTCATAGTAACTTGGAAATGAAACCTGCACCAAAAACTTTAACCTGTTCACTCAACCGGAAAATGTAGGTCAGATTCAGCATCCGAAGCAAGTTTAGTAGAATACATCCTAAGATGTACCATCCATGCAAGTTTGGTCATTATAGGGCTCAAAGTATCTTCAAAATGAAACCATCACCAAAAACTTTGACCTGTTCACTCAACCGGAAAATGTAGGTCAGATTCAGCATCCGAAGCAAGGCTGGTAGTATGCATCCTAAGATGTATCATCCATGTAAGTTTGGTCAACATAGGGCTTATAGTTACTCGGAAATGAGACCTACACCAAAAACTGCACCAAAAATGTTAACCTGCACCAAAAACATTAACCTGGTCATATCTTTGCTGAAATTGCAGCATCTGAAACTTTGACAATGAAACACACTAGCAACATCTTCCATGCATGTCTAATCAATATAGGACATAGAAGTACTTAAAAAGAAAACTGCTCCAAAAAACTTAACCTTTAAACCCCGGGGCGCCGACGCCGACGCCGACACCGACGCCGACACCGACGCCGAGGGTATCACATAAGCTCCCCCAACTTCGTTGAGGTGAGCTAAAAATGAGTCCACATATTGCAAAAACTGAAGACAAAATTAATTTAATATATCATACAAACACGTAATATCACCCCCTTTTGTTCCAGACACAACTTTTCACTACAGAAAATGTTCATAGAAAGTCAAGTCCCCGCCCCCTTTTCTTGCAGCATAGCCAAATGCAATGATTATAAAGTAAAAAAAGGAGAATTGTTACTGAAAAATATGGGACCTTCAATCCCATCTGAAATAGGAGTTTTGAGATTGATAAGACCCCCCCCCCCCCCCCAATTCTTATAGCCAGTCAACTTGTGTCAATGTTTTTTTTGGTCCCCCTTCAAAAAGATTCTACATCTCTGACCAGTGTCATAAATGCTTAAGAAAACATGTATTGATAACATAAAGGTGCAGAAACAAAAAAGAGATTTATTCATAATACACCATTCATGTAGTGTTGCTATTATTTTTAACAGGCTAAATATTTAGATTAAAACGATCCGAAGAAAAGACAAAGTGTCCTCAATGCAGTGATAGAGGAGTGGGGATATGTTATGATTACGTAGATTTAGAACATTGCGCCATCTATACAGTGTAGCATTAATTCAGATATCAATCGCTCCTTACACATCTAGCACCTATTATGTTTGATTATGCTAGTTTGTTTTTAATTTAATTTTTTTTTATTCCTTTATTTTTTTTTTTAATTTAGTTAATTTGTTTTATACTTCAGTAAGTTTATGGACTTTACGTTTTGGTTCGGCATTAGTATTAAGGTCTTTATCAACACTACCTGTCGCCTATAAACCTTTGTAAATAATATTTCCATAGATACTTCACACTAACAATCCTAAGAAAAATATGGGGTATACACCCCGCGTACAACATGTTGCATACACCCCGGACACAACATTGATTTTTCGTCAATATCTTTATATACGAATTGTTTTATTTACTGACAATTTGTACAAACGTTTATATAGTAAACATGTATTTAACAATAATATAAAAGTGGTAATAAAGCAAAGCTTTCTTCTGATATTTGATCATAAACACAGTGTAGCGTCAATCTTGCTCCGATCCTCGGAATTGTGATGAGGTGTTTGATAAAACTAGAAGGTATCCAGTGGATTCATTGGTATCCATACACTCCTTAGATAATGCTTTCTTCCGTTAGGCATATGTTTTCTGGCGAAAAATATCCGTAAGTTGAGAAAATGGACAAAGAACCTACATTGACCCCTTTTCTCTCGCTTCGGAAGCATACACCCCGCGCATAACATAGTATACACCCCGCATGTTGGGATATACACGGTGTAAGAGGTGAAATCAATAATCAAGACTTTCTTGATTCTGTGGTTGGAAAAACTGTAGATTTAGATATTAGTGTGACTCAGATAAACTCCTTTCAATATGGAGATAAAGCAATATACACTTTGGAGACTAACAGTGACGACCAATGTTACCTATATGAAATTTATTCAAATTATGTAGAAAAAGTCAACCAGCAAGGTGTAAAAGAAAGTAGATTTAGTATCACTCCTAATGACATGTGTGTGACTGATACTGGTGATGTTTATTTCACTGATTTCAGAAAAAAGTCCATCAGCTGTCTGTCACCATCAGGATCTGTCTCTACAGTCATCAGTACAGATCCACTGTTACCAGATGGAATCTGTCAATCAGTGGACGGTGGACTACTGGTCACCTTGATGGGCAAGGAATCAGATCGTTACAAAATAGTGTCACACAGCAGACGTCTGATGAGACACATCACGATGACAGGTGATGTCATCCATGAGTATGAATACCAGGAGGACGGTAGACCAGACTGTTTACAATGCCATACAAAGTCACACAGAACAGTAACATCTGTGTTGTGAACCGTTCAAGTGATACGACAGGTGAACTAGTGATTCTGTCTCCCTCTGGTCATATAAAGTCTGTCTACAGTGGACAGAACCTGAAAGAGAGCTTAAATCCATCTGATATAGTGTGTGACTCCCTCTATAACATCCTTGTTTCTGACTGTAACAACAAACAGATTCATCTACTGAATCCTGACGGGGAGTTCCTAAAGTTCTTACTCCAGGAGAATGAAGTAAACAGTGCATACTCACTGACCCTATACAAGTCTACACTGTGGGTGGGATACACGGGAGGATTTGTTAAAGTGTTTGAGTACACAATGTAAAATGAAATATTTCCATTTCTAATTTTTTTTCTCTGTGATAACCCTTTGAAAGTTAGCGGAGTTGATTTCTTGATAATTCTACCGGAATGTAAATTAGGCAGGTCGATAGGTCAGGAGCTAAAAGGCCTAATACGCATGCAAATCTCGTGCGCATCTGTCTCCGTGTCTGACGCTAAGAAGGCAAAATATGCATGTAAATCTTGTGCGGCTTCTTGTAAGGACTATTGAAATCGACATGGAAGTCCTCATGGAATTTAAATTTGTCTCCACATTTTTTAAGTCTAAATCTACAATTTTATTTTGCAGTGAAATACAAGCCATATTGGATCTAGTCTGGTGTAAACTAAGAAATACCAAGAATGCGCTTAATACTCTACCAAACTAGCCCAAAGTTACTCAAAGTGCTAATGCACTAATTACCTACTGTTAGAGACCAAAATTAGTAAATAATTAAGTTTATTTTGTCTTAATTAGGAGGAAATTAATCATGTTAGAACTGCGCAGCTACAGCATTCATGAGATGAAAAATGCATTGAAAATGATGTTAGTTTGATTAATTGATAATATGGCTACAACCATTTGTTTCGCTTTTTTTCTTGTCATTATCCATAATTCTTGAAAATTTGATTTTTCATATGGGTGTATTCCTGAGGCCATGTGTTTATTTCGACCGCCATTCCTCTGTCACACAGAGTTCAAATAACATTGAGTTTAGAATAAATGCGACCATAACAGCATCAAGACAAGAAATTATTTAGTAATAATCCTTAGGTTATATAACGAACTACTTTAATTTGTAATATCGCGTGGTCTGATTAATGAAAAAACGCGATTTTAACCCCACTTCAGCAAATCGGGAAAAACTGTTCTGTTTACAGCTCGAGTTTCCTCGTTAATATCATTCCACTGAGCACGTGGTTGGCATGTGCGTATATCTGCTGTGGATAGATGTGTTTATTACCATGATTATATTTAATATTTCATGGAACAAGTCTTGATAATTTGTTGGTTTCTTTAAAACTCAAGAAAAAAGATAAAAAATGTCCTAAACATATGTGTTTACGTCGGGTCTTTTTTCTGTGGCGATAGAAGTTATTTTCAAATGGGGCACTGCAAGGAGGATGCTTAGCATTTAATTTGAAAATGTTAAACAATATGCGGTGCATGAAAAACAAAGTGTTATTACATGTCTTACATTCGAAAAGTTGGTACATATGTCTATTTTGTTTAGCAGTTAGATAGAAAACATAGGCAGTTATAAGATTTCCTTCAGGCACCTCACATAAATAGCTAGATTGTTTGCAATGACCCACACATTGTATGGAGTAATGTTTGGACATAAAAACGCATCATGTCTCATTATGTTGACAACGTTGTAAGCTCTCTCTCATTGAACATACGAAGCTTGATAAAATATATTGAGTTGTTTCTTTGAAATTTAGAAGCAAGCACAATGTTTGCAAAGAAAGGTCCATTGCATATGCTATGTCTATCATCGCAAAAAAGTGAGAGGCTAAACCAACCCCCCAACCCCCGAAATTTTTCAAAAAAGTGCCGAAGATTCAAAAAGTTTGCATTACTAAGTATATGATGGAACATGTACTAGCTTTATAAGACCATTTGTTATTAAAAATATTTAGTTGCCCTCTCCCCCGATCTACTGCCTAGAAATGGCCCGACTCAATTTTGTTTACATCCCATTACACGGTGTTTTTTTTTCTTCCGTCAACAAATATGTTTAAATTTCAAGGAATTTTTTTTCTCACCTATAAATACCGACCCAATAATTTTTCCCTGAGTTGAGAGGACCACCAAACGTCATTTTAAAGATGGTATAAAATATTTAATTATGTTGATTTTTTTTCTTTACTCTGTAAAATTGTTATTTTGACAAAATGTGCCAATAGAAAAAAATTTTTTTATTCATTAAATCTTCTAACCCAGTCTGAATGATTTCATTCCTTTTCAAATGTTGATACGCTGTAATGAAAATTGTAAATGTTTATTTGACAGAGTATACGAGGGTTGATCAAAAAGTAAACGATATCTTAGGTATTTGATAGTTATATTATTGTTGAAATATTCAAGTATTTTTTAAAGTGTAAATTGGAGGTCTTTGATAGCATATTGCTTAATTAAAAACACATCCCTTTTCAAACTTGCTTTCACCGGGCAACATAACAAGTATCATATCTAACCATCTGCCTTCCTTTACTAAAACGATCTATTCAGTCATTGATGAATTTATAGGAAGTCATTTGTCTTAATAAACTGTGAACAAATTCTTGTACGCTACTTCAAAGGCATTTTAAAGATATACCATAAATATTTTAGTCGTTTGTTGGACGAGTTTGAGACAACCATTTTTCGTCACAATTGCATAATGACGTCATTTTCACATTGTGAGCAAAACTTTATTCAGAATATGCTATTTATAGAATTTGTGTTTGGCTATGTGTGCACCAAATTTGTTTCTAATCTAAATTGTTTTTGTAGATACACATGTATAGAGATTTCGCGAACTTTTTGATCACCCCTCGTACTAGTAGGTACTAAAACAAGGTCATTCATATCGATTTTATGTGTTTAATTTCTTTGTGTTTCAATGGTGATAATTATACTTTTGAAAGATATTATAAGTTATCTGTGGCAAACTTACAAACTCTTTATTTTTAACTTTGATGGTGCTCATTTTTCCTTACCTGGAATCAAAGAGTTTAAGATTTTTTTTTTATATCAATACGTACACTATTTAACAACTGTTCGATAATAATACTAAATAGATTACTTTAAGCCACACTATAACACATTTCCTCTTTTAAAAGTGTTTATATGATTTGAAATATTTTGCAACTGTAATTCTCTTCTACTTGTTATGTCCCTCCATATTAATTAAGAAGAGGTCTGGAAAACAAAATTCTGTGCTAAAAATAGACCACGTGCTGCTATCCATGAACTACTTTCATGGTTCTTTACACTCATTTTGAAGACAACCGTAACTTGTTTTGAACTTGAAATTACCAGTTAAAAGTGTGAAATTTAGACATTTTCTCAACAAATGGTTGTAGAGAGAACATTAATGCACAGTTTGCATATTTTTTTGTGGATTTTTTAAGGCTCTGCTAAATTATATAGCTGCGCAGTTCTAAGGAGTATCTCAAAAGCATTTTTCTGCTAAAGTATAGATTATATATGCACAACATGTATTCAGTTATGCATATTTATTGTATTTTTTTTATAAGGACTTAAAATTTATAGTTTACATCTTGTTCTCACTGCACTAAAGGTGGCCGTACATCCCCCTTAATATCATTCATAGAAATAACAATAAATAAATGCCATAATCTGAGGACTCAATATTAAAGCCCCGCTATAACAAAATCTGTCTTTGATAATCTTTACATATGGTGCCCTTGAAATTCATGTATATGTTTGTACAGCTAAATGCCATCAAAGGTGGGAAAATAAATGGTGTGAATTGATAATTCATGAGATATGCTGCTGACAAAACAGTCCTTGAATAGCAGATATGAACAACTTAGTCATTAATATCGTTTAGTACATGTATAAATGGAAGACATTTATCAATTTTGCTAACATTTAACAAAAAAAAATAACCAATGCTTATTTTAATCTTAATTGAAAGTCATATTCATTGATTATTACATAATATATTTAGATCTTTTTATTCAATACAGTGAATCCTGCATAATCTGACATGCAGTCGTATAATATAACGTTGTTTTCGAGAGACAGAGGTTTGCACAGTGTACTAATCATGAACAGAGATAAATGGGAATGAAAATAAAGGGCAAAATTTATAGTGAGGCAGAATGCATAGATTTTTTTTTAATTGGCTTTCACAAGTATACAAAGCAAACTATATATATAAGCAAAGCATATAAACAAATATACATATACACGGTAAATGTCTTGATAATTTCGTTAGTTTACAACAGTACAAAGTTTACTTGTAACCGTGAAAGTTATTTTATTTTTTTAAAAGAAAAAAAAAGGGGGGGGGGGTCAGCAGTAGTAGAAAAATGCATTCAAATATTTATTATTAGCTAATGTAAATCCTTAAAATTAGCATATAATTACATTTTACCATAAAAACAAATGATTTTTTTTAAAGTACATCACAGATTTTTTGCCAGTGCCTTTCATATTCCCAGGCCTTGGCAGTTTACTGACAGTATTTTTATGTTATTTTCCCTATGTCCCATAAATGTCTGTATGATGATAGGAATAATGCTGACCCCCAGTTGTCGAAAACAAATAATTGGAAAGAAGTTCAAAAAGTATGGGAAAAAAAGACATGCCTCTTGTTGTTGATTATTTGGAGGGGGGATTTTACAAAAACTTTTTAAAAGTTATGATAATAAATTGGAAGTAGGCACATTTTATAAAAATGAAAATGCTAACGGATTGTAGAGATACTATGCACAAAGACTTTTCTATTTAATAGCGAAAAAGGATATGAGCATAGAAAGTTATGATAAAAGTTTAATAACTTAAACAATAACAGAGAAAACTCTGGTTTTAAACAAATCATAACTTGACTATTTTGTATCAATTAGATAATGTATATATTTGTTTGATATTATGGAGACTATGTGCATATATTCCCCCATTGTTATGTGGTATTTAAGTCAAATAATATATTCACATATTATGTTAACACCAGGCAATATTGGAAATGAAAAGAAAATTGTTTACCAAATGCGAAAAACAAAACAGGAAATATAACATTTCAAAAAAAAGCCGGAATAATTAGGTAGAAAAAAATATTCCGGAATATTTCAATAAACACACCTGATGTTTATTTCACTTTGAAACACTGTTATCGGTAATAAGATTGATTCAAGATAGTGGTCCACTCAAATAACAGTCGGAGTTCACCTTTTATGCGAGATTGAAAGATATAGGCCTATATTAAACTGAGACTGGTAACTTCTTTGCCGCACCGAGACCTGCTTCCTTAATGTGCGAGAAGCGACGGGGTCCGATGTTATTTCCGTGCCATCTTGACACAACTACAAGTGCATTGTTAATTTCGTTATCGGCCAGCGTTTTTAATAGCAACCTACCGGCTCCATGCTCTCCATCGTCATTTGAACCTTCGTGCACCACTCCATCACTACTTGAGAAACGGTAGGCGTAAATATTGTGACTCGCGCTTGGCACAGTCTCGACACGCATGATATCCACCAGCGATTTCTTGATCTGTTTGTAGGAGTCGACCTGTGTAGCGTGTGCTATGAACCGGTTCCCGTTATCTTCTATGGACTTCCCTGTACTAACTGCAGTATTTACCACGTCATCTGTGATCACTTCGTCTGCGGTAGGCAAAGGTCCGACTTTCTCCCGGTAAACGGAGTTGCTTTGCGTAAATACAAGTTTATCACCCTTGATTTTTGACTCGATACTGCGTTCCGCATACTTCTTTTGAACTTCGTAGAGTTGCTTTCTCCTCTCTCGGATCTCTTCCGGCTGCTGCTGTGCTACTCTTATAACTGATTCTTTTTCTTTCAAGACTTTAATATGCTTCAACACAAGGTCTTTTTGTGTCTTATCACTGAATTGTACACAGATGGGTCTCGGGAACTTTCTTTGTACATCATACTCTCCCATGCGGAAAAGTTTGTTTATTCGGAGTTCGTTAACTGTTGCCTCTTCCATCCCCATTTCAGACATGAAAACATTTCTAAGAAAATTAGCAAGATTTTCCGGGGACTTTCTCTCTGGACTTTTTTTCCTCCAACCCACTGATAATAATAATATTGTTCTCCATTGATCTTGATTTGAGGTCGATAATTTGATTATTTTGCGTGTTCACACGATATTCAAGCTTAACTACGTAGTCCCTGAGTCTATTTAATTCTCTCTCCATTTTCTTCTGATTGTCCTGCAACTCTGTTACGAGGTAGATAGTATCATTGGCCTGCTCCTGGACATTCTCAGCCTCTCCTGAATACCGTTCTTCGCTCTAATTTCTTTAGTAATGTCATCTAGATGCTTGCCCTGACCATCGAGTCGTATCATGAAATTAGCTAGCGTTGTCTGTATGCCGGAAATGCCCTGCATAATTTCTCTTAGTTGAAAACCTTCAGTTTTCTGTTTACCTTGTTCATCTTGTTCCATTGACAATTCACCCGTATCATCTGTTTTGTCCAGCGGTCGTTTTTTAGAGATCTCCGCCATTGTGAAGACAGAATAACACTGTATTTAGGTATATGAGTATCGCTCACCGTTTAACAGTTAAATGCCACTGACTTACCGAAAAGTTTACCAACTCTCTGGTGTATCTATTTCTTTCCGTAAACTACTTAAATCTGCACATAACACATAGAAGAATATCTTGATTAATATCACTGCATTTAAAATTTCAGAGTTTCACTTTTTCACAGGGTTTTTGGCAAAAATTCTCCCTCTGCCAGGAATGTGTGTCTTACATGTTGGGCATGCGCACTCCCTCCGACTGCATATTTTAATACTGATACAGAACGTGTATGTTTAGATATTTGTATGCTTGAGGCCGCTTCTCGTCAATATTGTGACTCATTCTGGCTTCTACTATTGATACACTGTCATACATTTATAGATTTTTGTATCCAGTATATTTTAGCCGTACTGTGACAGTTGTCATTCCCCTTTCTACCCTCTACATCTGACAAGTCTTTGTATGTGACTTTTTTGGTACCATGTACATTTAATTCCATTGTATGATTATATGTCCATTTACTTTGCATCCTATACATTTGACTCTCTGTTCAATATATGGAATGATTAATTAATTACATTTTTATTAATTTAATTAAGAAATGCTTAAAACAGAAACTTCAAAGACAGCAAGCAAAAATGATTACAGTGGCTAGCCGTCGGATCTGTTTACTATTAATTCAGAAATAGGTCTATGTCAAATATTTTGTGAATAAATCTTAATATACAGTGTATATAAACATGATAAATATATAATAACAATTGTAAATCAACAGAATCATTATGATAAAGGAGTTCTCATGTATTTGTTCGTGTTGTGGTTTAGTTATCTTGATGTCAATTTATACAACTTCATGTCACGTAACCTGTCTTTTGAATAGATTTAAAATCCAACTACACAATTGTTGTTTATTAAATACGCACACTAAAAGTATGTCATATTCGAAAAGGCAATCATGGCTATGGGTAACGCAAAAAATTGTTCACTGGGATATTCTTTCAAGCACATTGAAATGTGTAATTACCATGAATTACCTATTGATATGATATGTGAGGACTGTGATGAATTCATTTGAACAACGTGAGCAAAAACAAATCATAGAAGTCATGATCGGAATACGCTACAAACAGAAGGAATCAGAAGAAGGATATGGCTGCTTCCATTTCTGAAGAAGATCAAGGAAGAGGATTTGCCTGGTATTGATGAAAAGATGGAGAAGATTTCACAACAGATGGCAGAAAATGAAGAACTATGTGTCTCCGAGATTAGAAAGTTACAGATGCATTGTGATAAGATAATATCAAGGCTGACAGAAATTCGAATATGTCATAAAAACATTGAACGGCAATCTGGCCATAAAAAAATGATCAATTAAGCTATGTGAAATCAGATTTAGAGAAGAAGAAAAAGAGAATTATTGATACAATTGAATTCATCGAAGAGAACAATGACACCATTTCAGATTACAGCTTGATTGACAACCACAAAGAACTGACAAGAATATTGTCTGAACTGGAGATCAATACGACAGACTTTGAACTTTCAACAACGTACATGTATATTAGGGGTGAAATCAACGATGTCTTACTTGTCAATTTGCTTGGAAGGACTTTGAATTTGGACTATTTTGGCTTGATTCCAGTGAACGCATTCCGATATGGAAATAATTTAATAAATGTATAAGAGATAGACGGTGATAACCAATGAATGTTACATAACAGAAGATGAATCAAAATATACAGACAAAGTGAACGAGGAAGGAACCAAACTGGGTGAACTTAAAATGTCTCCTGATGATATTTGTGTGACTGAAAACGGTAATATTTATATTACTGATAATAGAAAAACATTCATTAGCTGTCAGTCACCATTAAGATCTGTCTCTACTGTCATCAGTACAGATCCACTGGTACCTTTCGGAATCTGTCAGTCGGTGGACGGTGGACTACTGGTCACCTTGAGAGACAATAAATTAGACAATGAATCAGATGTTTACGAATTGGAGTCACACAGCAGACGTCTGGTGAGACACATCACAGTGACAGGTGACGTCATCCATGAGCATGAGTACCAGGAGGACGGTCACACCAGACTGTTTACATTACCAGGCAGTGTCACACAGAACAGTAACAGTGATATTTGTGTACAAGTACAAGTATATCTACAGGTGATCTAGTGATTATGTCTTCGCTTGGCGTTATTAGGTCTGTTTACCGTGGACAGGACCTGACAGAGAGTTTTTTCCCAACTGATGTAGTGTGTGACTCTCTCTCAAACATTCTTGTTACAGACCTAGTTAACAACCAGATTCATCTACTACGTTCTGATGGGGAGTTCTTAAAATTCCTACTGACAGAGAATGAATTCAGCCTTTCATTCTCAATGTCCCTTTACAAATCTACACTGTGGGTAGGATACTGGGAAGGTCTTGTCAAAGTGTTTCAATATGGACTGCTAATGTAAAATGGATACATTTTGATTTTATTCATTCAACCTCGCGGTTGAATGTTGTATAAAGGAACATGAGGAATGTTATCCTGAAAAATCATTAAACTGTTAAATCTGAAATAAGGACACAGTATATAAGTTAAACTGTGCATGTTGTAATTGTAGTCTGTAAGATCAAATTTACATTACATTAAAGAGGCTGGGTGGTCGTGGCCATTTTTAGACTATTTTGACCTCTATTAGAAGAAGAGCTCCATATAGATATGTAATAAAATGATCAAATTTTAAAGCTAAGATTTATATATATATATATATATATATATATATATATATATATATATATATATATATATATATATATATATATATATATATATATGCTTGTAAATGTATATAAAACTAAATGATTTTTAGCTCACCTGAGCCGAAGGCTCAAGTGAGCTTTTCTGATCACATTATGTCCGGCGTCCGTATGTCCGTCCAGCTGTCTGTCTGTCTGTCTGTCCGTAAACTTTTCACATTTTCGACTTCTTCTCAAGAACCGCTGGGCCAATTTCAACCAAACTTGCCACAAAACATCCTTGGGTAAAGGGGATTCAAGTTTGTTCAAATGAAGGGCCACGCCTTCATTCAAGGGGAGATAATTGAGAATAAGTGAAAATTTGGTGGTATGTTTTAAAAATCTTCTTCTCAAGAACCACTGTGCCAGGAAAGATGATACTTATGGGGAAACATCCTCAGGTAGTGTAGATTCAAGTTTGTTCAAATCATGTCCCCAGGGGTAGGGGTGGGGCCACAATGGCCGACCAAAATTTTACATAGAAATATATAGGAAAATTCTTTATAAATCTTTAAAAATCTTCTTCTTAAGAATAACAAAGCCATAATTGATCATAATTATATGGAATCATCTTCAGGTAGTGAAGATTCAAGTTTGTTCAAATCATGACCCCCCGGGGTAGGGCGGGGCCAAAATGGTCGACCAAAGTTTTACATAGAAATATATAGGAAAATTCTTTAAAAAACTTCTCCTCAAGAATAACAAAACCATAATTGATCATATTTATATATGGAAGCATCCTCAGGTAGTGTAGATTCAAATCATGACCCCCGGGGTAGGATGGGGCCAAAATGGCTGACCAAAGTTTTACATAGAAATATATAGGAAAATTCTTTAAAAATCGCCTTCTCAAGAATAACAAAGCCATAATTGATCATATTTATATGGAAGCATCCTCAGGTAGTGTAGATTCAAGTTTGTTCAAATCATGACCCCCCGGGTTAGGGCGGGGCCAAAATGACCAACCAAAGTTTTACATAGAAATATATAGGAAAATTCTTTAAAAATCTTCTTCTCAAGAATAACAAAGCCATAATTGATCATATTTATATGGGAGCATCCTCAGGTAAAGTTGATTCAAGTTTGTTCAAATCATGACCCCCAGGGGTAGGGCGGCGCCAAAATGGCCGACCAAAATTTTACATAGAAATATATAGGAAAATTCTTAAAAAAACTTCTCCTCAAGAATAACAAAACCATAATTGATCATATTTATACATGGAAGCATCCTCAGGTAGTGTAGGTTCAAGTTTGTTCTAATCATGACCCCCCGGGGTAGGGCGGGGCCAAAACGGCTGACCAAAGTTTTACAAAGAAAAATATAGGAAAATTCTTTAAAAAAATTCTCCTCAAGAATAACAAAGCCATAATTGATCATATTTATATATGGAAGCATCCTCAGGTAGTGTAGATTCAAGTTTGTTCAAATCATGACCACCAGGGGTAGGGCGGGGCAAAAATGGCTGACCAAAGTTTTACATGGAAATGTATAGGAAAATTCTTTAAAAATCTTCTTCTCAAAAATAGCAAAGCCATGATTGGTCATGGGACTACTTTTGGATTTAAGCTTTTAAAGTATAAACCAATTCTGCTTTTTCCTAGCCACAGTGCTCAGGTGAGCGATGTGGCCCATGGGCCTCTTGTTTTCTTTTCTTTCTTCTCATTTACATCAAATAAGTGGAAATAACAAACAATATTTAGGCTCATTAACCAATCCAAATTTGGAGCAGAGCAAACACAATCCTCTTGAACATCAGAAGTGGGATCAGGTGCCATGGAGGAGTGAGCATACTCTGCCTATCTGTAACACTCGCCCTGTGTTCCTTGTCATGTTTTGGAAATAGAGCGAAAATCTGTCTACAATTCTGTGTGTAAATAATGGCCTAAAATTTGGTATAGAAAACAGCATTTGACTTTATAATACATGTCGATTTTTATTTCCTGACATTGTATCGACCAAAGAACTTATGAAATGATGACTTTAATGGAGACTGCCTATATTTTTGTTTCATTAATTTGTTTGTCAATTACTCAGCTCGTTTTAGAAATTGTTCATACTTACAGCGTTCTCTTAACCACGTAAATATTATTGACTCAAGTGAATATAGAGATCACAAAGTTTGAATCAGATAAAAAAAAAAGATATTACAGAGGTTAAAACTGGTAAAAATAGAGATCACACAAGTTGAATCGGGGTAAACAAAGATAAGGTCAACTCAGGTTTACATAGTTATCTCAGAGATAAATTCAGGTAAACACATATATCACAGATATGTCAACTCAGATAAACATAGATATCACAGAGATGAAATCAGGTAACCATAGAAATCACAAAGGTATTGTCCGGTACAACAAAACACAATGCAATGATTTATTTTCATGATAATTTAAATAAATTCATAAAAAGTTTCTGAAAGTTGTCCACATCTATATAGAAGAATTTAGAAAGCATTTTATTCTTGTTATTTCGGGAATGGGTGCATGGGGCTGAAATTAACTTGTCTGTCTGTCTCTTAAATATTTTTACTTATGAAATAACATGAATAAAGTCTCCCAGTCTTTGTATTAGTCTTTATGTGGTCCTTGAGGGGCAATGTGTCCATACATATCAACTACTTTGTGGTTGCCCTAGTGGCGCAGTTGTTAGAATGTTTGCTCTAGAGTCGCGAAGTAAGGAGTTGATCCTTACTTCGCGGGTTCAAATCCCACTGTGGGACTCGGGAATGGTCCTTCGGATGAGACTGTATAAACCGACTTCCAGTGTTGCAGTGAGTGCTTGGACGAAAAAGATCCTTTCCTGCTCATGGCCCTAGGTGCCAAGTATAAGACAAATTTTGCAGCTTTCCACCGGAAAGTGTTGGCCTCTTCATATGATGAAAACTTCTTGAGAGGGATGTTAAATAATATATAATCAATCAACTACTGTGTACTATTTGCTAATGGTTTTTTGTAGTTAGGAGTTTGGAATCTGGTTAATGATGAAAGGTAAAGGTAAGAGACTCGCACAGACACTTATCTGACCCGCTAGCTCTGGTGACAAGCAGACCTGGGGTGAATTACTTTGAAATGTAATGCATTACATTACAATTACTTTGGAATTTTTATCATTACAATTACAATTACCGTTACTCTCATTTAGAAAAGTAATTAATTAAATTACAATTACTTTGTTAAAGTAAATAATTACATTACACATTACATTTTATGAGAGAAAAACAAGAAAGGTATCAACACACAATTTAAATTTATAAATTAACTTTCACATTTTTTCTCGATAATATGCTTTCCCTCAGATCTATAAAACAGAGTGGTATTTGGATTTTGGATTCATGTTTCATGGTCATGTAGTTTACCAATCCAACAGTTTACAAAGAAAGCGGATCAGAACACTTTCAATGTTGTAGTTTTGTTCAATATATAATGTTAGTTTCTCTGTTGTTTTTGTTTTTTAAATAAATGATTTATTGAACATTTCCTATTAGATGTTTTATGTAAACTAATATTAAATTAAAAGAAAATGCTATGAATGTATAAGGAGTATTAAAAACTTAATGAATTAATAATTAGCACCCCTAATTAGCTTTACAGGTATAAACAATGAAGCTATGAATTAAACACAACCAAAGGTGATAATTACAAGTACCTGGATGTAGGGTTCAAATTTTGAGGCCTTAAGCTACCAAAAAATTAATGATGGTCAATATATCAGTCTATATTTATATTTGGCCTTAGTTTCTCTTTGTGTCTACTTTAAATCATACTGATCTTGTTTACCAGGTCCATTTTACCAGATTGAAAAGGGAAGAAGTAGAAAAATATGATTTGTATCTTAATTTAACTGCAAGTCTCACTATATACCTGTATTAATATCACTTTTTGTATCTTTCTTTAAAACCTGATGATTTCTTTTAATATTTTTCTTTGGTTCTCTTCAATTGATTTTACAATTATCTAAATTGTCAAGAAGATTTCTATTAAAAGAATTATTTAGTTTGTCTATGAATTACCATTTAACATTTTTTATTAATATAAAAAGAAAATATTGTAGGATGTGTGATTTTAATTTTAAGACTCTAACATTATTAATAAAAAAATAACCTTTCAGTGATATTTACTTGTTTCAGATTCAAAAATAAAAAGAGACTATAAACAAAATGTAATTGAAATGTAATTGAAAAGTAATTGGTCATTACTGACATTTTTTTTAAAGTAATGACTTTCATTACAATTACTTGTAATTGAAATGTGGATCCATTACACATTACACCCCATTACTTTTAAAAAATGTAATGATTACAATGCATTACCATTACACATTACCATTGACAAGTGCCCCTTATCACAGTTCAGGGTGACAAGTCCTTGTCCTGAGTCTACTGAAAGATGTT